GGGGGTTGATTTCAAGTGTTTATGAGCTTCAGTTTTTTTCTTTCACCCTCACCTCTTTCCGTAGGTGTTTGCACATGAATTTGATGATATGTGAAAAATGAGAGTAGTATTTGAAGTTAAATTAAATAGTGTATTAGAAAATTAAAGTTGTGTTTGAAACGTGCATTTTACTCTAGATTTGTTGAAGTTTTGTGAGGAAAAATAAATTATTTACTTGAAAATGTGGTTCAACAAGTTTTTCAAATTTTAAAAACTCAGCTTCAAGTTGGAATGAAAAATTGACGTATTATTAGACAAATTTTGTTCTATTATTTTGGGAAAAGCAAAATGTTTTATTTGAAGTAGAAATTTTTGGGTTGATTTACTCAAATGTCCTTTTTTTAGGTTGCAAATTTTGTTCATATTTTGATAAATTGTGTTTCTGGGAAATTACCTTTCAGACAAAAATAGATAGAGGTGTAATATTTAAGCATATATTAAGCAATGTTGCATACAAAATACTAGACTGTTGTTTAACGTTTGTAATAACTTACAAATTTAAGTTTGTGATTTAACATTTTCTCATTAGACTTTGCTCAAAAGAGATCTTTAAGTCATGATTTAAAAGGTCTATAAGCAACCAGAGAAATAAAAAGAAAATTACTTAATAAATCGATATTCCAAAAAGGAATAACTGAACAAAATTTCTGAAAATTTTGTTCATCCATTATATCCAATCACATGAGACAATAGTACTATTTAGTATAATGATTTTAGAACGGCATGATTTTCACAAAAAAGATATACCTGTATCGGAAAATCTATTAATAAAAATAATATTTGATCGCAAAATTTGTCCTTTAAATAGGATGGTCTTTAATTTTTGCTTTTAAAATTGAACTTATGCCTAGTAAAGTACAAATTTTTAAGGGCGCTGGGGGCATAACTTATGAATATTATAATTATAATGTGAATATAAATGTATGCCGGCTAAATGGTTTAACGACTAACACCTTGTTTGGATAGTTGTTACCCATTGTATTGTTAGTTTAAATATGATGTTTGTTTTGACTATTACTTAAATTCTATTGTATCGTATCATTTAAATTCATCGTTAGTAATGACGAAAAGACTCATTTTATGCAGCGACCGATTTGGTGTGATCCTGTCGTTACCTTAATATTTTCTTCTCATTTTATCTTTACTTATTATTTAATAATTATATTTCATCATTTATCATACCTTTTCATCATAGCTCTACCCCGTCTCCTATTTTTCTTGTAAGTTTATCACTTAAAATTATGAATGTATGACATTATGTAACAACGGAGAACGATACAATCTATCCAAACACTGTATTCATTAAAATAATATAGTTAGATGCAATACAACAAAATACAATATAATACAATATGATACATTATGAAATAATACGTAACAATCATCCAAACAAAATGTAATACAGGGGGCAAAAGTGCATTTTTCCCATGAGTTGGGCCAATTTCTAATAACCCACATTTATTTAAGCCCAAATATAAATAGAGGTTTATGTCTCTCTGCCTTTAACCCTTCTCCTTGGTTGCTCTGTTCCTGCTGTTTGCTGTTTGAGGTCTCAACACTCGCTTAATCTCAGCTAAATATAATTCAAAGCTTGAAAGGGAACGAGAAAACATCTAATTCAGGTATTTTCCTCCACTTAATCGTTGTTTTTTAATGCTTATATGAACTGGTTCTCTGTAGAAAAGTAAGCCTTTGTGATGGGAGTTCGTTATTTTCCCAGTTGGTTCTTCAACATGAGGTCTTTTTAACCCTTTATTTGTACTTCTTTCGTCATGACATGAACTGGGTCTCCGTAAAAATTGAATCTTGGTGGAGTTTTAGTAATTTGCTTGTTGTAAATTCCCTTAGTTTCTTAATTGCTCCTGAACATGAGGTTGTGTGATTTTTCTGGGAAGTAATTTTTTTGTTTTTCAATCATCACTGTGGATAGTTTAGCGAAAATGGAGGAAGAATTTAATGCTGGAAGGAGCAGAGGCTCTTCTAAGAGGACTTTGCAAATTACACCTCTTGATGAGGAAGATCAAGAAGAGGTTCAAATTGATGACAGTGGAGATGTTGATTCATATGATGATGATGATGATGACGAGGAGGAGGAGGATGAAGACAAGGAACCTGTGGGGTTAGGGGTTCTTGAAAAGCCTGAGAATTCATGGTCACTGCTACGTGAGTTATTTCCAAGCAAAGCTGGGGGTACTCCTGTATGTTTAGAAAAGTTCTCTCGTTGATTCGTTTGCGCTAATTTCCATATTCATTAGGGTGAAAGACGCTTCCAAGGTTGATTGAGTTCTAAATTTTGTTTCTGTGAATGTAGGCTTGGTTGGATCCAATTAACTTGCCAACAGGGAGATCCTGTCTTTGTGATATCTGTGGCGAGCCTTTGCAGTTCATGCTTCAGGTATATCTTTATGTTCTTGTGGAAGTTACAATTTTAGCTGCAGGCTGTATCTAACAACAACATACGCAGTGTAGTCTAACAAAGTGGGGTCTGGGTATCCTTTAGCCTACAAATTGGAAAACATTGTCTGATACAAGATGGAGCTAGAAGCGAAGTCAAAGTAATTCTTTTTAAGTTTAGGGAATAGTATTGATAATTCTGGGAACATATATCATTAATTCATGTCATTACATACTAAACACTGAAGTAGCTACCCAAATAAAAACAGTTAACTTTTACTGAAGCTAAAAGTCTCCATCAAATTTACAGAAGACAGCGTTTCCAATCTAACTTGACGTTGTACAGCATAAAGTCTAAGTCGAACTGTACAATATACAACATAAGAGGAGATGTGGTTCTTTTTTCTTATTATCCTTTTGGAGTTGGTCAAATGGTACTTTAGTTCTTCCGATAGGTTTAGGATTTTAATTGTTAACGACTTCTGAATACATTTCTCCTATCTAAGTTTAAGTCTATCTATGTTTCTCCCATTGCCTTAAAAAATCTGATGTTTCTTTCAACCAGAGTCTACCAAATGGCCTGAGCTAATAGTGCAAAAAATTAGGGCCTGTGGATACTAGTACAACGTCTCCTCTTTTGAGAATTCTTGTATAAGCCCCAACCCCCTTTCTGTTCCAGCACTGCAGCAGCTTTGTAATGGAGATATGCATGATCCAATGCCTGAAATTTCATAATACATGCTCCATAATTGACTTGTGACCTTGCAATGCAAAAAGAAGGGGCTATCTTCTTCGATTGCTCCACACAATGGACACTTCTGCAAAGCTGAAGTCCCCCTGTTTGAAGGTTTATTTGAGTGAGACAAGCTTCCCTAATCACAATCCAAGAAAAGCAAGAGACCTTCAAAGGAGCTCTAATCTATTGAACCAAATCTTCCAAGCCCATATAACCCTGTTGTTACTTGTTAGATTCCATCATAGTGTAGCAACTTTTGACTGAATAAAGTCCTTTGGAGTGTCTCTTCCAACTGATGGAGTTAACTTTGTTGTGATCCAAAACTACACTGTTTAGCATCTGAAGCAAAAAGCCTAAGCTTTCTACTTCCCAATCATTCAAACTCCTCCCAGAAAGAGATTCCAACCTTGTGCTAAATGAAATTTTGTAATTTTCTTTCCATTGTGTTGTGGGGGATAAACTGTATATGTCCAAGAATTGGTCTTTAAGCAGATGTGGCCCTGCCATGTATTTTCCCAAAATCTGATTCTCTTTCCATTACCGGGAAGAGAAAACAATATTTGTCTCAAATTTACTCCAATATCCTCGAATGTTGTTTCCATAATCCTGTTCAATGAGGTGCTTAAGAGATTTTGGTGCACCGTGGGTTCTCTAAAGTGAACTTCTCCAACCAAGGTTCTCTTCCAAAGTGCATTTTCCTCAATACTGAATTCCAAAGCCATTTCATCAAGAGGCATTTGTTATGACTCTTAGGTTTTTGATTCTCAGACACCCATTCCTTTTGTCTCTGGTCACTGTTTTCCAATTTACAAGGAATGCTCAAGTTGTTTGTTTATTGTCTTGCCAAAGAAAGTCATCTCCTTAAGTTGTCCAGGCGCTTCACCTTGATTAGTTCACTTGCTGCCTATTTTTCAATAATGTATTAGTTATTTCTGCATCATATGGGCTCTACATCTAGTTGTGTGCAGGGTTCCTTTTCTACCATTTGTCCTCTTTTTTGTTTTTCCCGGTGTGGCAAAAGAAGAGTGGAAAGAGGAAACTGAATTGATGTTTTTCCTTTTTGTTTTTTACTTATTGTTAAGGTTTACGCACCACTCACGGAGAAGGATTCGACTTTTCACCGCACCTTATTTCTCTTCATGTGTACATCAATGACCTGTCTCCTTAAAGATCAACATGAGCAGTGGAAAAGGAACCTAGACAAGCAATCCAGGAGGTACTTCTTCACAATTGAATTTCGTTGTGTGACTATAAACTACCATGCTTATGTATCCTTTCATCTAACTCTGATTACTGAATGTGTTTTTCAAGTGTCAAGGTCTTTTGTTGCCAATTGCCCCGTGATAACTCTTTTTACTCCAGTGAACCCCCAAGAAACAATGGGAAAGATAAACCTTCTAGTCCTGGAGGTAATTCCTTGGAAGGATCTACTTTTTTCATTGGTCAATGACTCAAGTTGACAATTGATTTGATTAAGTATTTGCGATTATCTATCGAAGTCGTTGGCCTTTCCTGTTCTTTCAACTCCATATTAATTGATCACCCAAAAATATTTACACATAAATGTCCTGTATTTTTTGTAATACATCTTGTCTTTCATTTCTCAGCTGTTCTCTGTGGCTGGTGTGGTACGTGGAAAGGAGATAAAGTCTGTGGTGGTTGCCGAAGAGTACACTACTGCTCGGAGAAACACCAGGTCAGCAATGTGTACCGTGCTTCGTTTGCTCCTTTCTGTTAGGACGGAATTTTCCTAACTGAATCCAATTTGCAGACTGTTCATTGGAAATCAGGTCATAAACAATGCTGCTTACCCTCAAGCATTTCTCAGGATGCATCTGAACCTAGTAATAATAAGACTCTTAGGGAGGTGCAAGAAGGTAAGGGTAATCGATGCTTTGTTCTATTAATCTTACTTAAATGATATGATACTAGAAAAATGGTAAGCATGTTATATATTTAGAATGTCAGTGCATGAGAAGTTCATGGAGATTTTAATCCTCGAACAGTTGCAAGCAAGAGTCTCTGGCCAGAATATGAGATTGCAATTACTGATGAATGTGAGGATAAAGTTTCTGATGATAATGATCAAGTGAACTCATTGATTTCTTCAAGCCGAGTGGATGAATCAATTGAGGCACTTATAGACAGCTTCGAGGTATGCAGAACTATTCTAGTGGTTGATGGATATATTGACTATAACTTTCAACTTCACATAATTGTTTCTACAACAGGGGGGAGATGACAAGAAGAGTTGGGCATCTTTCCAGGAGAGGATATCTCGTACCCCTGAGCAAGTATTAAGGTGATTGAAGTACTTGCGGCTTTTTTCTACTCTATTAATTTTGAAAAAACACTATGCGTGCGTAGATAAATGACATCCGCCGCCTTCTTTGCTATTCCCAAAGAATTATGATCACATGACTTGTCACTGAGATTCGATCGTTATCTTGGAAAATAGGTATTACAGAGATGCTGGAGCAAAACCATTATGGCCAACTTCAAGTGGCCAGCCATCAAAGGCTGACATCCCTAAGTGCACCTATTGTGGCGGCCGTAGGGCTTTCGAATTTCAGGTATAATGAAGCTTTTGCTTTGCTTACGAGTCTAACTAGTGGTGATTCTCAAACTACTAAAAGCAGTTCTATGTCTCTGGCTGTCTTGTAGAAATTGTAGCTTAATTTGTTGGTTGCCTGAAGTATTTTCAATTCATGCTCTTTTTTCTGCCGCTTACAGGTTTTACCACAAATACTCTATTATTTTGGTGTGGAAAATGATGTGCATTCTCTTGATTGGGCTACTATTGCTGTGTACACCTGTGAATCCTCGTGCGATGGACATGTAGCTTACAAGGAGGAGTTTGCTTGGGTTCAAATTGCATCTCAATCAAGCACAACCCAGAGATGAAACATGTAAAGCATGGTTTGAAACAAGATTGATAATGGACCCGTATTCTACCCTTCACTTAAATACCAGACTTCTGGTTTGCCGTGAGATTCAACTCATGATGTGCACTTAACCTGCACATCATGCCTCGCGCTAAAATTTTGTTTTCCTTTATGTTAATTTTTCTCAGATCATTTTTAAATTTCCTGGTTAATTTGCAAACATTTCGCATTACAACGTCAGTAGCGAATATTTTGTTGTAATAGTATTGCTTTTCTCATCAATCAAGTTGTTCAGCTTGATATTGGGATCTTATGATTTCAAAAGTTCGTCTCTCTTCGACAAGATTTGATGAATCTGTAATAGGCAATTAGCCATAATACAGTAGCTAATATTCAATTATGCTATAATTTCAATCTCAAAGACTTCCAACATATGGTGTTTTGCAAGATGGAGTGTTAATTTGTCTTCTTACCAATACAGGATGAAAATGGGCTATTTTAGCATTAATAGGTCCATTATACTATGGATATCATAAGCAAGAGTTTTGTATGACATGATACATGTTCTACATATATAATTTTGTTGCAAGATTATCATTTTTCTTTTAGATGTGAACCTTTTTTTACACCTTAACTCCTGCTGCTGCTTCTTTGATTTGATCGATGGTAAAAATGCCAAAACAGTCGTCATCCTTAACAGCATTTATCACTGCATAAGCAACGTCGTCCACGCTAACAGGAGGGGCTAGAACTAAATCAGATGCTGGCAACGATTTCAATGGTTTAGTGAAGCTCTCTGTTGCACGTAATAACTTTTCAAGAGGTTCTCCAATCAAATCTAGAGGGATCTCGAAGCCGTCAACCTTCCTCTTCCCGTATATAAAGGCAGGTCTAAGAACCACACCTGTTACATTTCAGTGAGAAATATAAGTATGTAAGTAACAAAAAAATTGTGGCTGTACTAGTTCAGGGTTAGCAACAAGCTGAACACTTCCCCTTTTTATTTACAAACTTGTTGCAGACGTGGTGCTATTGTACATACTAATTTCAAAGAACAATTTTTAGAACCATAAGCTTCAGATTGCCACGGTGCCAACAATGAGAAGTAAACATCTAATAGAGTACCTGAGCTAGGGAATTTGGAACAAACTTCTGATTCTGCTTTTCTTTTCCCTATGAAGTAACCTGATTGAAGGAGGAATGATGGTAGATTGTAATCATGCACAGAAATCAATATGAACTTAGGGATCCCTGCAAATAACAAAAGATATAATGTAACACTTGGCATGAGTAGTTATAGAGAAACAAAAGAACAATGATAACAGGGTGTGCAAAATGACTAGTTTAAACCTGCCATAAGGGTTGTTCTTAAACACATCAAAGCAGTACCATACTGTTAATTGCAAACTGTAGAGAACCTCTGTTTTAGACAATCCCAAATTATTGAATACTGGATAAACAGGTTTAAGTGAAGCAAAATAGATCATGAAGTTCTACATAGCGAATCCCAACTAGTTTGACATTAAGGGGTAGTAATAGTTGTTTGATAAGTAAGCTAAGTTTTATTAATAAACAGACCAGCACCCAGCCAGTGCAAGAGAAATGCAAAATATCTATAATAGAAGTTACTTAATGCATATCCTACAATTTACACCAAAAGTACTCAAGCATTTTATTTCAATCTGTGGACGGATCCAGCTTTTTCTTCAGTTGGTAAATGTCAATAGATTAGAAGTGACAAGAACAGAATTTTCTGCTCTTTAAAAAAATTTTAAGCATCAATTTTCTCTAGCAACATATATCTTTGGCTCTGAGCTAAAGTAAATAATGGAGTCAACCATGCCTCATGCTTCATCACAGGGAAGCATGACTTATCTGATTCATTATTTATATTGCAAGTTAAAGTAAAAATAAGATAGAGAAGATAGGCCCTGGAAAAATTAACCACAAAAAGTTTATCACTTGACATTGGAAAAACAAATCTTATCGTTATTCTTTTAAAGGTCACTTCAGCTTTACAGATTTCTTCAAATAAATAAAATGAAAGCTACAGACCATATTCTTTAGCAGCATTGACAGCCACAACATTAGCTTCACCATTGATCCTTAGCATTTGTTCGTCAGAACCGAAACCTCCTAAAGTTGAAACAACTGCAGTAGCCCCAATAAGTATTTCATCCCAGTTTGCATAGAAAACATCTCCTGCATGATATGATGATCATATGAGTAATCTGGATTGGATGGAAAACAATCAGAAAAAGATTTTAGCCAAAAGTCAAAACTACACCAACACAGATAACATCTGTTACTTTTAATGGGGATCTCCTTCTTTTTTTTTTTCTGATAGAGGTAGTTTTAACTGGAATCCTCTTTCAAGTTTGCATATGACCAATTGACCATAGCAACCAGACTAGGCAAAACAATCCAGTACTTCGAGATTCTTTGCACTTCTTTGCTCTTGTTTGGTCCAGGATTCATATTGTTTGAAGGAACTTTAGAACTCTTTTGTAAATTTCACCTATGGACTATGGCAAAGATTGAATATACAGTTTTTGACAACGTGTTTTGACTTCTAGGCTTTGATCATAGCATGAATAATAGAGAATTAGATTTGGTCTTTCAAATGGTTGCAAAATAGACTCTCCCCCCCCCCCCCCCCCCCCCCCCCCCCC